CTAATATATGGCGTCCCATCTTTGGTTTCAGGATTTGGCCAAAAATAGCGAGCCAAAGACATATAATCGTGTGGATCATTAGATGGGGCGAGTTGAGGTTTCAATGTAACAGAATAGACGTTGGTGTTGGCAACAGCTAAATCAGCTTTATGAATAATATCATGAAACATTAGATTATGTTGTTCACGCAGTATTTTTAAATATTCAGCATAATAATGAGCATTTAAATATTTCTTAGGTTTTCCATTTGCACCGACGACAATCTCCATTCTCGAGTTTTCGTTCGTGAGCTCAGGCTCTTTATTTACATTTGATATCGGAACTTCAGGATTAATGGTTGATTTATTAGAGCTGTCAAAATCAGGTAAAGTTTCTTCATGGTTAATTGCATATATCTCTACATATCTTGGCAACGACAAAGCACATATAGATATTATGATTAAAATTGTAGCAAGTAATATTAAAAATAGGCCTTTTTGAGCTATCATTCTTCACTCCAATATTTAATGAACGCTAAAATCAAGACTTTCAAACAAAGCTGATACCGACAATTTAATGCATACTATACATATATATATATATATATGTACTATACATTTGTATGCATTTTAAACAGTTAATTTTTTGATATTTGATTGGTTAATACTGTATAAATGCAATAAGGTAACAACTATTACACAATAAGAGGCATATAGTATAACCCAAGCAAAATTGTTAACTACTGTACGTAAATATATATATTTTTACCTAATAAAACATTGCTCTTGACCCGCCTGATCCATTTTTATTGACCAACCCAAGAAAACAATGCAAAAAAATCTCATCGTGGGTATCGTAGATCAGGATATACATCACAATATTTCAAAAAACTTTGATAAAATAGTTATGAAGTACCCGCATATCATTCTTTTCAGCTCAAACTTGCACTGGCTATATATTTTTAATCTACATTGGATTCTCAATAGTCAAGAACTATACCCAGTGACGAAGATACAGTACCTCCAACCAGTGTTGTACATGAGACAGTTGGGACATGAGTTGGGACATTTTGGGACAATTTTATAAATTGAAATTACTTAAAATTTTATTAAGATAATCTAATTTAATTTTGTTAAAAATGTGTTCAGCACCTAAAAAAATATATAATTATATATTTTTTAAAATTAATTTATTAATTATTAATACTTGGGACATAGTTGGGACACTTGGGACACTGGGACATTGGAACGTTGGGACATGGCAAAAAAAGGCTGGGACAGCGAAAATGTACAACACTGCCTCCAACAACTAACAATTATTTTCAAAGGTTTGTATCCTCTTCCAGAGATTAGTAATTCACCTTTCCAAATACATATTCCAACATAATATGTCATATATCGATGTGAATCTTTTCAAGGCAGGTCAATAAAAATGTGTCAAATGGTTAAAAACAATGTTTTTGCTGTTTAGTGTGTCAGTGATGCGTCGAATATATCTTCCTGCATTGCAAAAATTTCCCGATTACAGTATATTATAATCGAAAATTTTTTTACTTTGTATTCGCAATGAGGAAGATGCTCACCTTATGCTCAACGCATCTCTGACAAGGACACGTTAAAATTCGGTCTCTTGAGTCGACTTAGCGTGGACTTTTTTGAGTTTCCAAGGGACCGAGTCCCAAATGGTCACAGCAGAGTTTGGTTATTGATTGGCACATTTTATTTATGAAAATACACGAGTCAAGTCCCAGACTTAACTCTTTCATTAAGACTCGACTTTCGGAGTCAAGTCGGACTTTTAACATCCCTAGACACACCAAGGGTGTTATCAAGCAGCACACTCGATGTGATTTGCTATTGATTGAAATAGTGCTCAACCATTATGCCGTTATTAATTAGACCATTTTTGAGAACCGATAGTATGGACGATAATATGCTCATGTATCTTCCACAATGGATTAATTTATGATCGTGTTGATGTTCAAGTATTATGATTAATTAAAATATTGATTGCAATTGATGCTTGAGCAAACGTCTTTATCATTACTACCATTTAGCAATTATTGTTTTTACAAATAGAAATGGATCAACGAAAGGATAAAGAATCCACGAAACTTCCAAATTCTGTTACTTCTTTTTCAGAATTTACTACGAACCAGCAGAACACAAAAACGTGCCTTTTTTATTTGCGGCGAATATTTTTAGCATAAGTAATAAAGTAAAAATAATTCGTCGACGTTTGATAATGATTTTGAAGGTCCATAACAATGATAATATAAAAAGAGTGACAATTATTTTTCTTAATCAATCAATCAATGAAAAATTTCGACCAATAAACACAACTCTATGATAAAAAAGGATGTCTGGGCCTCTATCTCTTGTTGATTGGAATGATAAATGCCCTTGGTCGGTCAAATGAACTTCTGCTAATAAAATTTTCTTTCCGACGTGTTAAACTTTCGTTACGTGTTTTATTCATTGGAATAATCAATACAATTAATTCGTTAAACTATTTTTTTACTAATATAAATTTACCCTCAGACTCGTTCCGGCGGGTTGATTAAGGTGCTTGAGAACAACCTAAACAAGGTAGAACAGCTGTTAACAGTTGAAAAGGCCTTTGCTCCGAAATTGTATAGCCTTGGTCCATACCGACACGTTATTTTTGTAAATACTTAGACCAGTGTTTCGGCCTAAACCTCCCCCAAAGTCCGAAACGTTTCGCCCAGAGGAATTTTAGTTTCGCCCTATAAGTC